CAACTATTATTGCTGAGTATCTTAAACTTCCTCCTGGTATGATTCTTTAGTAGAGACGCATATATCACTGTTTTAAAATCATCCATTGTTATTTATTTGTGAGGATTCGGATATAAATTTTTATTACCGAATAAATTCTCATTGTGTTATTATTTTTGTTCCCTATAGTGGTAGTCCCTATTTCTGTTGTGTGAAGTAACTTCAGCTACTTTGAATCTCCCTGAACCCAGAAACAATGAAATTCATATGATGATGACCATACCTGATTTTTATGGAAACCGTATTCGGAGGCAATTAGTTACAACTACTACTTGGTATGTTATGAAATAGTACTATTACCTTTAGGATTTTAAGACATTTTGTCAAATGAGATGCAATGTAAACACCAAATGCTCTTGAGCTACTTATGAGTAGTGTTAAACGAATGACTGAAAACATTTGCATGCACCAACTCCGCTTTATGAATCAGAATCGAGAAAGAACAAAAACTGAAACCGAATAGCATAGTATTATTTTGCTTCACCAGTCTGTTATCAGGTGCTTACAACACGAGTTTTGGACATAATTTTTCCAGTCGAATGAAGTTAGTCAACAGGACATAACATGGTTCCTCAAATCGTTATTCTTTGTCTATTCAAGTTCATAAACGGGAATATACAGGTGAAAATGTTTCTGTCCCATTATGCTGTAAGTAGTATGTTCTTCTACACTGCATCAGATTATATTCTTCATACAAAGGAAAGGAAGATTAATCTGAATACTGATGACAATGTAGTATTTTCTTAGTAGGATCAGAAGGCTTCTTATGCATTCATGTTTAGCTTTTATCATCTGCAATTTGTGTATTTGGATCAACCATAGGTTATCCCCCTGTACTAATAATTATAGAAATGTAGAAGGTGAATTTCGTTTAGTTTACCTTATTTTCTACTACTCTACTTCCTAAATAACTCGTTTTCTGCAGATGGTGTTTCTGATCTACCTACGTCATAGTGAAACATTATTTATTTGGCAGTTATTGTTAACTGTTGTTATGGGTAACATCAGTTACCATCGGTTGGTTTATTGTATCCAAATTAACCGAGATTAGAACTGCATATACTTTATTTATTGATGCGGTGTACACAGAATTCTAGCCTTTATTCATGTTGGTATTTTGTCGAATGGTATATGAATTCTCTAATCCATTTTGGCACACTCCAATTTATTTGGCTTCCAAATGTTTCATTGGTAAAAAGTGTGGGTTGTAGCAGTTGAACGGATCACATTGAAAGTTGTTTTATTGTTATCAAGTTATGATACCAAGTTCAGGGTAAAAAATAGAATTCCTTATGACTTCTTGAAACGCTGATCGCATCCGCCTAAAGGCATGTAACCTAAGAAATAGCGAAATGTAGATTTTAGGATGATGGAGAATATTTTTAGCTCAACTGGTTGATTTTGGTAGCTTTGTGTTCTCTGTGCTGAATGGCTTAGTCGTTAAGTTATCACTGTCACTCTTAATAAATACCGTCAGCACAAACTTCAGAGAGAAGTTAGCTATGAAAGTTTCTCATCAATTTGCCTAGTAGCTTGTTTGTGCTAAAATCTTATCACTGTTTCTTCAGAAATTTCTATTGGCTGCCGTACTGGCGTGAACGTTAACCTTCTTGTTGTTGCTTGTGCCTCTTGTTGGTTTATGAATTCGGTCAGTGTCAATGTGTTTTTTGACCACTTACTGACCTGACAGCCACGCTCCTAAAAATTGCCTATAATTCTTTGTATTTCCTCGATCCAGGATTTCCACATTTTCCCAATTGAATTCTTGTCCACAACTGTCTAATGTATTGATATTAGTGTATATATATATATATATCACGATTCTTCGCTGTTAGTTGGTATTCATGCAGATGGATACTAAGATTACCACTGCTCAGTTCCACAAAGCGATTTCAGCAGTTGGTGCATTTCATTTTGTGGATAACTTTAGGGCTTGTCTTCTTTCTCTATTGTCTTTTAGACTGAATAACATGAAGACATTTTGTAGGCTTGTGAGATAAAGCGCTTCTGAAAGGCTTCAACAGTCTATTTGCAATCTTAGAGACGTTCTTTATGAAAAGCCAAGACAATCCTCTTTTTGGCTTCAACGGAGGATTTGACAAAGATTTCTGGTTGAAGTTGTGTGGACGTCAAGAATTCCATTAATTTGTCACTGCATAAAAACCAATTTCATACTATCTTATCTAGAATGCTGACTGAATTTTAACATCCTTTCATTCTGCTGTGTGGTTACCAAGCTAGGTGGTTCAGCATCTCAATGCATTTTGACTGACTGCAGGCGGTTGAAAATAGTCAGCTGAAAACCTTGGAACCTGGTTTCTTGCTTATCAACACTTACCAGCTGGACGTGTCAACAACCTTGAGAGTACTGATATCCACCCAGAATTTCAAACATAAATCACTCAGCAATGCAGTTGAAGAACTTATTAACTCAGCGGTAGTAACTGTGACTTCAGTACTAGATGACTTAAGTTCAGATCACTACAATAAAACTGCTATATTTTCTCAAATGTTTATTTCTTTTCAGTTTTCATTTTAGGAAAAACCAACTGTCTGACTACATTTTGATTGCTTTGACTCATTGTAGTGTTTGTTATAGACACAATAAATCAGATTTGAGTCATCGAGGGAACACCGGTTTTCTACGGTTGTAGGCTCCAACAAGCATCAAACTTAGATGCACAGGTGTCTGCTTTCTTTAAACTGTCAACACCAAAACAAAGTTCACCATAATGTTGCATCGCTTAGATTCGTGTTCACATTGCAGAACTCTTCGGCAGGCTTTGGTTATTGCCTAAGACAAGACGGCTGCATAGGTTACACTCTGGTGATTAAATTATGTTTATCCGAAAGTCCTTTGATCTAGTAATGCTTAATACAAGAATTTTGTTTCTACTGGTTTTGAAGTATGATGAAAGAAATTAAAAATATAAATAAAATATGCTCTCAAATGACTTTATTCTGTTATACGGTGTTGCTTGTTGTGTTTCAGTTCAGTACACCCAATTTCAGATAACACCTGTATGATTTAGGGAAACAATGAGTGAAATGATTCGAAAATTTCATTGATGTATACTTGTAACTTCCCGTTGTTACTGGGAGTCAAACTGACTGACCCCTGTTGACAGACAAACTACTATGTGACTACCTCAATGCCATCCGGTTACTCACTATGTTGTTGTCTGCCTCTTCTATCTGGGACTCGTCAGCTGAATGTACCTGCACCCAGTGAGTAATTGTGATTTCCTATACTGGGTCAAATTACTGGACCTCTGGTTCAAAGTCTATTAAAATGGCACAAAGTCATCCAACCTCTATCATGCCTCATTACCCGGTTGTTCTAACCTAATTTGTTCGGTGGTCAGGGATTCTTCACGTTTCTGTGTTTGTCATCTAGAAACTTTCGTAATGTATTGGATATCTGTAAGGTTGTCTGTTGTGCATACGCTTTTAAAAATTAACTGATAACACTCCAAGCCACACAACTCCACAGTGCTCATCGGTGACATGCTTCAGGATGGATATCCTAAAGTTCTAGTGAGAAGCTGTGATCTATGGGATCAACCAGTCGGAAGCAAAGCGGATGCCAACTAAAGATACAGGTGAATAATCATGCTATTTCGCCAATTGACCGAAGTAGAAAACTTTAAGTTATTGAACTCCGATCCCGTGGCTCAATGGTTAACGCGTTTGTTGTGAGATCTAGATGTTCTTAGTTAGATCCTTGGAACCATCTTGGTCGTGTACTGCCAAGGAGTCTCAAACTGGAATGAAAAGGCTGCCCAGTACTCCTGGGTTTTCAGTGGTTCTGCACCTGATTCCATTTCGTGATGAATACCATCTTTAAGAAAAGCTGACAAGACTTACAAAGTGACCCTATGTACTGGTTTATTTCCAAGAATGTTTAATAATCTTGTCTCTCAATGAATATCAATTAGTGAAGGAATTTCAAAGCAGTATTTAAAAAATAATTTGATCACGAGATTGAGATCACATCATAAAAGTTTACATATCTAACTTTTTGTGTATAGAATAGAAATGATTGGAATGGAATATGAATCTAAAACTGATAGTTTTCCACAGTAGGAAGTATAAGTGCAGTTCCTTAGCTAATCACATATTGATGTACTGAGCTTTTATTCATCTTTTTGTATGTGTGAGGATATATGACACCAACCCGTTCCTTAGGCCTAAACTGATAGAGCAATGTTTGTATCAGTGGTATTAGGATCATTACCCAACAGCCTAAATAAAAGTGGATGAAGCGATTGTTTTATATTGGCTGACTTGATGGTAATTGGTTTTCAACAACTAAAAGTTCTTGTAAAGCTGCTTTCAGGTAAAGTATCACCACAGTAGACTTTATTCAGGATTTTATAATATCTGTATTCATCAATAATGCACATGTGAAACGTTATCATTGTTGATTAATTAGAAATAGTGTTTACGCTTCATTGACGAGATCCAGTAACTAGGAAAGGTAGAACTGGGTTTTCTCAACCTGAACTTATATATTGAGGTCGAAGAAATACATGGGAGTGGTTACTGATGATGAATATTTCCCCCTTTAATTGCATTTGCTGTAATTTTATTGGCAAATTACATGGTAAATTAAGATGCTGCATGTGTCTACTTTTTTCCCAAGTGGGTAGAGTCAAATATGGTGCATGTTTATATATGTGAGTTAAATTAGTTAAGTGTGTGCATATGTCTGTTTTTTTAACAGAAATTGAATGTTTCAGGTTTTACAAGCTTTTATTGAAATAGTAACACGTTTTATGTATATTAATGATAAGTAAACGATGTCCTCAGACATTTATGGAATAAACAGGAAATTTGCACTACTTTTATTCGGTTCTCATATCAGTTATGGAAATCTACCTGTTATTTTAGAAAGGTATCAGACGACATTAAATAGCTGGTTTAAATGATCAATGATCAATCAACCAGTCAATATTCACTTCAAATCATTGTATCTATTTGCGCTTACACGATAAAGTAATGAATTCTAAATACGCTGGTGGAACAGTTTTATCACATTTTCTAACTGATGAAACCGGTTCAAATTGTGGCGATTTTACTTTTAATGAACAAGATTTACTTCTTTTATGTTGTCGTGAAATTAATTTAAATGATCAACCAGCACAAGTAATGGTTAGTCATCCTAAAATTCCTGGATTATCGTGGATTATATTTTTCTATCAAACGGCACCTAATCAGTATCAACCTAGAATTGCATTCGATTTTCCTAGTTATTTAAGGGCAGATTGTGAAGTATGCATCCAGTTTGCTGGTATGCATTGGGTTGTAAAGTATAAATTTGAAGGTAGTTCATGGTTAACATCTTCACTGCCACCGAAAGCTATGAATGAACGTTGGGTAACATTGGGTACGGTGAAAAAGGTTGAAATACGAGTGAATATCACTAAAATATGGTTTAAATTTCCCATATTTACTGCTTGTTGTCATCCAGTAAAAGTAAAACGCTTTGTACGACAACCAGATTTTACAATGCCGGATGATTTTTCCGATGTACAGTTACTTCCTCAAGATTCAAATAATCGTCGACTATTTTCTCACCGTCAAGTATTAGCAATGAATTCACCATGGTTTGCTGAACGTTTTCGTAATACATCAGCTTTGAATACTGGTGATATTGGACCAATTATTTCTATTCCCTTTAATTATGATACTGTTCATAACTTTTTAAAGTTTATTTATCCAAATGGAGATATGGAGATAACAGCAGATAATGTCGAAGGCTTAATGGATATGGCTAAAGAATATCAAATGCCAAATGTCATTCAAAAATGTGAAAAGTGGATGTATAAATTTATGGAGGGTGGTTCATCTGTTTTATGCTATTATTTAGCCAGAAAACATGAATTATCACAAGTTCAGGATGCTGCTCTTCTCCATTTGGCTGAATATAATTCATCACAGCTTAGAGCTCGATTGAGTTTAGACATGAAAGGTAAATCACCGGATACTCAAGAGGTACTTTTAAGTGATTTATGTCTAAGACTTGCAGGTTCTTAAGTAGTATACAATGAACAATAAAAAGAAAGCCACTTAGGATTTTAGGATGCATTTTTCAACAACCTAAGTGAATTTTCTGAAATGTGATAAAACTGATGAATAGAAAAATATACACATATTTGATCAGCAAGTTTCTTACCTGTGATTCTCCTTTTTTTCTTTGTGGACCAAATACTGTGCATTCATCTACATTTATACATGTTTATATGACTCTAAGGTCAGTAATAATTTGTAAATGGTTACTGTAGGAGCGATTTTGGTGTTTCAGATTTGTATCTAGTGTGATAAACAGTTATTTCATTGAATCGTAGGTGCTTACTAGTTACTAGCGAAGCAAAGTAGCTAATCTGTGAGATGCTGGTCATAAGTCGTCAAAGATTGAAGGAGATACTGAATTATAAGCGTACATAGGAAAGTATATATATATATATATATATATATATAGTGGCTGTTTATTCCTGACTATTAATAAAGTCACTGATTGTTGGTCTGGATATTTAGGCAGCTGTATGTAGCTGGGCTTGAAAGTTAGGACATCTAGAGACTCTCAATGAAACAGTTCAAAACAGACTAAAACATCGGAGTTGTATTCACTTTTTATCATCCACCAAACTGTGAACTGCTTTACTATATTTTACTTTCTTATTTCCCATTTGCTTTTTCTAAAGATGATTTATTTGTCACTTATTCATGTGAGTGTTATATTATGACAGTAGGTGACTGTGAATTTACAGAGTGTAAAAGCTTACTGAGAGCTATAATCTGAAGTAACAACTACTAGTGGTGTACACCAAGGATTTCTAATATCATCATTGTAAATTAACTTAGTTACAGAAGTGCTAATTGACTCAACGCTAAATGCCTTAGTGACTGACTTGTTACTTTGAGGACATCTGCCTGGCCTTAAGTATGTAGACGATGTTATGCTGTTAAGCTGAGATGCTAACATACATACATGGATATACTGTGCAGAAAAGTGAGTATGTTTTGAATACGTTTCGCACTCATAAAATGTAAAATGGTGCTTCAAAACTGGTCTATACCGACTCCTAGATGAAGATAAGGAGAGAAGTCGTAGAATGAGTTGAAAGTTTGGATTAGCCTTCACGAGTCATTTGTAGACACGACTGATCTTGAGATCAAAAGACACTTTCGTAATTCACTAACTTGTATCGTTTGTGGCGTTACCAAGACATCCATGTGCCTACCACAGGACGAGTAGACTGTTCTTGACTCCTCCCTGTTCTGCCATACAACTGAGAGAAGCGCGCGTTGAAAGTAGACATAAATAACATACAGGTCTTAGTAGTATATATCATCTGCGGTAGAATCAGCGTATGGGTAGTGTTAAAGTTGCACTCAAAAAACTATGTTAGGAGGCCCAGTCGGTTGATGGGGTTGTGAAGCTTCATTGACTGAGATGGCTTGGATATGTGTTGCACAAACGGAGACACCTTCTATTTCAGTTTGCAATATCCGGTGAGGCAGAATGAGGATGAAAGAAGGCTAGGGGTAGTTTTAATAAGAGGTGGCATCAGTCGATGGAGTTTTTGACTGTTGCTATTAGCCATGTAGGTATTCATAGACTACCCGACTGGTGTCTCAGTGATAATATTAACTGGTGTTCTGAGACCCTATGGTATGGCTCAAAATCAATTAAAATTGCGTCAATGTATTCACTTTCTGTCCTATTTGAAGTCTTTATTTATTTGTTTATTTCTATTAACTTTGATTTTACCATTTCTTTACCCTGTTGCAATTTTTTGACCTTAATGCCATTTGCCTTCTATTAGTTTTCTATTTGTGTGGTTTTGAGAAGTATGGCAAACTTGAATTGTTGTACTTTGTGTCAGGTTCTTTCTTAGTAGATTTGACTGTCCCTCCATTTTAAATTGAGGTACGTTGATCTGTTGCACTGTTATACAAGGCTTTGCATACGTTTTGTCTACTTTTTTGACTAGGTGGGAGATTTTCAGTGCATCTATCTCGAATATATCGCTACCACTTTCGCTCATCAGAATAGTCATTAGATTTTGTTTAGTTTGACAAAATAAAACCATCCATCTGTGTCATAGATTGTGAATCATTATGCTCTTGTAGTTAACTATGTTTAGCAAAGGATAGTTGCCAACTGGGCATTATATTTTACTAATGGAATTTAAAATATAATATCAGTTTAACCGGTTCAGCTGTGTCGCAGTTCAGTGAGTAAAATAAGCATAAAAACAGTCGAAAAAAAATGTTTAGCATTCTTGTATAATACAGACTATTTCAGAAAGTGGATAGCTCAAGTTCGATTGCAAGGGATGTCAAAAAACGTGTCATTTTCTTCATCAATTTTTATCAAACTTAACAACTGAATATTCACTTTTAAATGTTTTGATTTGATATTTGAGAATTTCGCAACCACACGGAGGAAGTTTTGCTTTAGGAGCTCATTTATTCTGTAGTCATTTTTGAAGTGTGTATTCATCATGGTAATCTGTCATCTGCATCAGTGCACTGTATCACTCGACGTCGGTTGAAAGATAGCTAAAGAATAATGGTCTAAAGCCTGTCAATAAACCGTAAAGTCTTTAATCGTTGGTCTCAGTCGTGTAGGAATGTGTATGCTACCTAATTGGGGTTCTAGGGATAATAAGAATACGTGGCTGAAGATCGTCAGTGAAACAGTTAAAAGTTGATGGTAGTTATGCAAATGTATTCATTGTACTGCATTTTCAAGTTTTTTGATTATTTTGCTCAGATCCATTCAAGTATTTTCTCCTTTTGTTTATCATTGTATTACTGTTAACACCTCCTACTGTGAAATAAAGCAAACTGAACTAATCCAATAATGCAACAGGCTGTCTGTATTTCAACTGTATTTTTTACCTCTAAAGGTTTTAATTTTGCTAATTACTTTACTAAAAGAATATTCATTTAAGTGCTATCAATGAATTCGAAAACTTAAACAGATAAGTTGCATTGAAAGCATGCACTTCGTTCCATCATGAGTCAGTTAGCTGTTAACAATAGCTGCATGTGTTTAGACATCACAAGTCTACTGATGAACCATTCGTTAATTATATGCACGAAACCATTCCTTACTCTAATAAATTCCACCTATAGGTTTTACTTCATTCTTAGCTGTTTACTCTCTTGTTTTGATGCCTTCCGTTTATGGATCTTATCACATAAACATCACGTTGCTCAACCATTTGTTCCTTTTGGTTTTGTTGTTTTTGTTAGTTGTCTAGTATGATGAAATGCAAACTGTTGGTTATTTCTCTATTTATACTATGACACATCACTTTTAATCTGAAGTAAGATTTAAGCTTGTTTCATAGTCGGTTTTAGTCGATGGAGTGCTACGTCATTGATTTGAAGACTACTCGTGCGACTTTTACATCGATATGGGTTTCATTTAAATTTGAGTCATCAAAGTAATGGGTAAATTTAAACACTCCCGGTAAATTGCCGCGTAAACTTATTGTGGTACTCTAGATTGGAAAAACTAAAATAAATCAAGAGAATAGTTAAAATCATGCTCAAAATTACTAAGTTCACACATTATCTGCACGGAACGGCAACCACTGACGTCAGCCACGCTACATAAAGCTTATATGGCAACATGTTGGTTACCGATATCGAAAATTAACCATTATCCAGCAAACCAGTCATAGCTATTAGTATGTGAAACACTCATATCTTGGTAACATTTCTGTTATTAGATGATCGTAAGAGTAAAACTTAGACACTATGGTGGAGTATGACTCCATACTACATTGTTTATTCTTAACAGTGTACTGAGATACAGTATTATTCACTAAGTGGAGGACTATGAAACGAAGTTTGAAATTTAAGCGATTAGTTTTATCGGATTGTAAGCAGTAGTTTATAATTGAAGTATCATCAAGTAAATAACACTCTTTGACTGTGTGATTTACAGGATAGACAAATTTAATAAGGTATTACATAGTACCACAGTGTCCAATTTTTATACTTTCATCAATGAATACTAAGAAACCAGTTCCTGAGTATTAACATGAGATCTGATGTAACTACATAGCAGTTCAAATTTCTACAATTCATACCATCACATCAAGGTAGAAGCGAACAAATTAAAAGATACGGAAGTCAAGTAGGTAAAAATAGGTCGTAGCAAGTCATAAAAGGAGGAGAAAAAGGGATATAACAATAATGGAATTCAACATAATTATTCAAGTGAAGGTAACATGTCGGTTCACTTGAACTACTGATATTAACTTTAGCCACTGAATACCTACAGTATCTGACCAGTTAGTTCGGTTGTTATGAGCAATTAGGTAAGTAATTCTACATTTCCATGAGAGGCACAGATCAACAGTCAGAAAATTCATAGACTGACGCCATGTTTTATTCCAACGATCTTTAATTGTTTCTGGGTAAGTCCTATTTCAGTTGGCATTGAATGTCGGGGTATACAGAGTCTAGATGTACAAAATACACGTCTGAGACATCTGGGAGTATGAAGGTTTGACCTCACCAAATAAATTCTCTCTTTTACCTAAAACTCTACATTACTGATTCAATGGTTTGATGACACGTGGACTGTATAATAAGGGTGATGTGGTCAAGCACCTAAATTTTTCTCATTTTCTGCATATTCAACAGTCACACAATAGAACAGTGCCAGCTGCTGCAATCTAATTTCGCCCCTCATTTGGTAATCGGATATGACAGTGGTGGAATAAATAGAGTTTGTTGAGTGAAGCTAATTGAACCTTCGCTGTATGTTCAGAGATTTCACCAGTTAATGACCCATAAAGGCTGGTTCGATTTCTTAGTTAACTGAAGTGGACAGTGAGTTCAGCCGCTTAACACTGTACTGTTATTACCACGATCAACCAATAACAGTGACTTATGAATAGCCCACTGGAAGAAACTATGGTGATTACTCATTCATATCCAAACCTTCTTCGTTTGTCGGAGAATGATTAGAAGTAGCTTCTGATAATGTTGAAGAAAGACATCCACATCTAGTTCAATAATATCTTATATCATTAAATCGATGGAATCATTATGGGCAATAAGTTGGGTCCGATCATGGCAGATACATTTGTGGGTAACCTAAAGCAGACTAAGATGAAACATGCAAGTAATGAAAAAAGGTTTTATGGCAGATACTTCGATGATATGTTCATCATTTGTGAC